AAATAGGGGTTTTAACTGTCCTGTGGTGAGTTTAAATATGGGCGAAGCCAATTAATGTCGCCTAGAAGACGCTGAAAATATTAAGCATTGAAGAGAGTCTTTCTGATCTGTTTTTTGGGAGAGGACCTTATTGGGAATAATTAAAACCTAGGAACAGGTGAGGGGGACAGACCTGAATCTTTTCGGGGGACAAGCGGAGGCCTCGAGCTTGTAAGGCCGAGACAACTTGCATAGTAACTTGATGTAAAGTTGCCTCGTCGGCTCGGCAAAAAGAATGTCATCCATATAATGAATTATATATATTTGAGGATGTTGAATTCTAAAAGAATCAATTGTCTGAGCTACATATTTTTGGCAAAGGGTAGGGCTGTTGGCCATGCCTTGAGGCAATACTCGCCACTGGAAACGCGGAGGGTCCTATACAGTTTACTACCAGAAGACCGAAGGCAAAGCGCTTACAGTCATTTGGGTGCAATGGTATGGAGAAAAAGCAGTCTTTCAGGTCAATGACTATCTTATAGTAGCCTCTGGGGATAGCTACGGGGAAGGCAAACCAGGCTGGAGTGCCCCCATGGGAACCATTGTTTGATTAACAGCCCGCAAGTCTTGTAGCAGCCGCCACTTGCCAGTCCTTTTTTGAATGATGAAAATAGGGGTGTTCTATGGTGAAGTAGAGGGCTCTATGTGTCCGGCAGCTAATTGTTCCTGCACCAACGCTGTAGCTGCGGCTAGCTTGTTAGATGGGAGGGGCCACTGATCGATCCAGACAGGTGAGTCACTTTTTTAAGTGATTTTATCTGCCTGAAGTGCAGGGGGATCAATGGCCCTTACGAAAAATGGTCTTTGAACCCTAGTCTTGATCTGTCTGACTTAGGGGGGGTGGTCAAGGGTGCTCTTAGTCCTTGACCCTCCTTGCCTAAGCCCTGTCCTGGGAGGAATCCCTGTTTAAGCATTTGGCTGGCTACAACTTCATTGGGGCTGCACATAATGACATTCATTTGTGCAAGGATATTACGCCCCCATAAGTTAACAGGCAGGTTTGGGACTACAAAGGGTTGAGTGGTGCCTTTGTTTCCCTCAGGGTCTTCTCATGTTAAAATTTTTGAGCTCTGGAGAGTATTATTAGACTGTCCTATACCTTGCAAGTGCGTAAGGGAGGGCTGCAGTGGCCATGAATCGGGCCAGGCGTCCTGGGCAATAACTGTGGAATTGTTAGGGACCGGCTTCCTGCACCCCACCAGGCAGACGAACAAAGACACCAAGGATGCAATCACTCAAGAGGAGCTTTATTTTCTGGCTAGCCAGGGTCCAGGCCCTAGAGTGCCAGCGCAGTGGCCGCTCTTTCAGGCAAGGACCCCGACCTGAATTGCGGGGTGCCTTTTATTCCCCCCCAAAGGGCCCTAGCAAGGCACAACATAATTACGCGCTGGCCATGAGCTGACCTTTGAAGTGATTAATTTTCTTTGAATTCTGCGCGATCCCTGTGCATCCCACCTCCCTTTTGCCTTTCTTCCCAACCCAAGAGATAACCGGAGGTATGAGTATAAACAGATGTGTGCTGTTGTAATTGCCTCACCTACTTCACACGAAGGGGGGAAATACCTTTCTTGTTGTGCCACTGAGACGCCGCGAAGGGCCATCGAGGCGCCCCCACAGAATCGGCGCCAGAATCAAGAAGGCCTTTAAAAAGTTTACCATTTAACTTTAACCGCAGGGTGGGTCGTTTTTTGGTGATAGCTTGGACCCAATAAAGTTTAGAAGAGCCAGGGCAGGAAGCACCTCGGTTAGAGGTGATGGTGGAAGGACGTATTAAGGGGCAGGGCAACGCCTGAGCTAAACGCTGTCCCTTAGAGACAACACAGGGCCGGTAAGCCGCTGGCTAAGATGTTAATCTCCCGGTAAAGTCACTATCTACTATGGAAGGGTGGACTATGAGCCCTGCAAGAGTAGAGGAGGCTCGGCCCAGAATAAAAAAGAACATGTTAGCCGGTGGGGGTCCAAATGAGCCAGTAGGCAAAATTTGAACACCATCTTTAGGTTTTAATATTGTGTCGGAGGAGGCACACAAGTCCACTCCTGCGCTCCCTGTGGTCGCTTGGAGGAGTCTAGGGGCTGGGGATCCTCTTGTCGGCTGTTCTCTGAGGCCAACTGAAATTGAATAGGACAAGGGAAGGGCATGTTGGTCTCTCAGGATCATTAGGAGAAGCCGACTCTCCGGTCGCCTCTAAAGAAGTTCTCAAAGCAGACCGCGACACGGGTCAGAGGCAGAATTCTGCTACTGAGAGCAGCTGCTTTTTATTGGGGTCTGAATCTGCCCCTTCAACAATATCTCTGATTAGTCCCTAGTACGAAAAAACAGATACAGGGACGGCATCTGGGCCCTGACTTAAAAGTAAATCATTTAAATCTCTACCTACTTTTTGCCATTTATGTGGGTGAATTTCAGGTCCACCAATAATAAACCAAGGACAAGCACGATCAGTGAACACAAAAAACTTTACTAAGTCTTTTTTCTTAAATCTCTACCTACTTTTTGCCATTTGCGTGGGTGAATCTCACGTCCACCATATAATAACCAAGGACAACACGATCAATGAACACAAAAAACTTTACTAAGTCCTTTTTCTTAACTCTAATTCCTCTCTCTCTGAGTGAGGCCTTGAGATCCTTAATAAAAACGGCCTCTTTAGACAATGAATGGCCCATCTCGATGGGGTGACAATGTAAAAATTTACTCACCAGACCGTCGACTCTGTGAGCGGCAGAACGAGGGTCTCTGTAGGGTTTCCTTCACTCTTCGACGTCACCCGACAAAGGTCCGTACCTCGGGCCCCACATTGGGCGCCACTTGTCCCGGCCCGCGGGACCTTCTGTTACTCGCAGGGGGCGAGGGGGACCGTGCCTGAAAGAGATGAGCGAGAGAAAGAAACGAGACCAAGCGAATGATTGTCAAGGTCTACTTTACTTAGATTCTTAGTAGGTTTTATAAGCATACAGAAACAAGGACGTAGAAGCAAAAAAATAGAGTGTTGACGATGAGGCTTGGGTCTGGGTTAATCAGCCCCAATCAGCGTCTTATCAGTATCCTGTTTGTGACTGGTTACTCATCTCCAACCTGGCAGGTGGTCAAGAACAATTGCAGTCAGCATACCCTTGAGCATCTCGTGGTCAGCACGTCATAGACTGCATTCTTCTCAGAGCTATAGCTAGAATTTTCCAGGGCAAAGTCCGTGTGTAGGACGAGTCATAAGAGAGTTGAGGGTCTTTGAGGGTCCTTGCCTCTAACAAAGGGCCTCTCTCCACGTGCAGATGGCATTACCTTCCTCGCCATTGTGTTGTCATTCTCTGTCCTGACCACCCCACTCTGTGTCTTTCTTCCCATTTCTGGAACTTTCTCCCTGTTTCCAGACAGCACCCCTGTCGCTTGCTGCTTTCTTCCCCACTTCCACGAGCAGAAAGTCGCTCCACGGTTCTGTGGTCCTCTTCTCCCTTCCTCTTCCTCAGTTCTCCAACCAGTCACTGTCAACAATGACAGCTGGCGGGAGCAACGCACCGTGGTCACCCTCGAGAGGATAAATGGTGGCAGTGACGAGGAGCAGGTGTGTCTGTGCGCGTGGCTGGAGAGGGAGGGGGCGGTTGGGGAGGGTGGAGTGGAGGGGCCTGGTGGAGGGCTGTGGACGCGCCCATGGGGACAGGCTGTGGGGGCCAGAGCACACCGGTATCCCTGGGCCCTGAGGAACTGAGGGAGGGGAGGCCAGGGAGTGGTGGGGCCATCAGGAGCAGCAAGGTCGTGTGTGACATGTGCGTGGCAGTTGGGCTTCTTTAAGCACGTTGCCATCTATTGTCCTATTTGGGCCCCAGCTGGTGTGGAACAGAGGGGAGCGGGGAAAGGGTGCTGCCTTTGAGCAAGCTGATTCCCAGGGCGCCGCCTGTGCGTGGTGTCGGGTGTCCAGGGCTGAGTGAGAAGGTGGGGCCTCCCTCTCAGAGCTCAAGGCCTGTGGTGGGGAAGGCCTGAGCCCCTCCCCAGCTGTTCCAAGGGCCCCCCCATAGCAAGTGTCTTAAGGTCTGGGACAGGTGTCCTCAAACTATGGCCCTCAAACTACATGCGGCCCGCCACTGCCTGTCCTGCTTAGCAGCCGACTCGTCCCGGGCCCACAGTGCGCATGTGTGGAACATGCACCGCACTCTCCAGCGGCCCCCAACAGACCGAGGGACAGTGAACTGGCCCCCTGTTTAAAAAGTCTGAGGACCCTTGGTCTGGGAGATCCCAGCTGCCTCCCTTGGGAAGTGGATGAGGATGAAACAGGAGGATCCCATTTAGGTGCTTTGTGAAGTCAAAAGGCTAAATGACCCTGTTGCTGTTATAACCTTATCTCAATGGTGTAAAAAAGGAACCCAAGGGTGTTAGAGTCTTGGCACTCGGATCTACGTTTCTCATTTTCCAAGCTTGTTTTCTTGTCACTGAACGATATTTTATTTGGGCTTAGGAGGAAAGAGGCCTCATTTCTAGGACTATTTGCTCTCCAATTATTGACAAGTATCTATGAGCACCCACTGTGTGCGGGCCTTTGTGGAGGGTTGATTAGGAATATGAGATAAAGCAAACAGGAATTTTTATCTAAAAATTCAGTTATTAAAAATAACAAGGCCGGGCGCTGTGGCTCACGCCTGTAATCCTAGCTCTTGGGAGGCCGAGGCGGGCGGATTGCTCAAGGTCAGGAGTTCGAAACCAGCCTGAGCAAGAGTGAGACCCCGTCTCTACTATAAATAGAAAGAAATTAATTGGTCAACTGATATATATATATAAAAAATTAGCCGGGCATGGTGGCGCATGCCTATAGTCCCAGCTACTCTGGAGGCTGAGGCAGGAGGATCACTTGAGCCCAGGAGTTTGAGGTTGCTGTGAGCTAGGCTGACGCCACGGCACTCACTCTAGCCTGGGCAACAGAGTGAGACTCTGTCTCAAAAAAATAAAATAAAATAACAGATACAGTGCTGCATTCTGGGTAGCATGTGAGAGAACAGACCCTGCCCTCAGGAGGCCCTTGTGTGCCTGAGTCAATAGATAAATAAATGGCCACAGGGGGCTGTGCCTTGGTCTCCCTGTGGGGCTGGATGGAGCAGCTTTCCTAGAGGCATTTGGCCATCTTGGTTCCCTGAAGACAGCCCTGGCTTCAGCACTGAAAGTCTAGCTCCGGGCCACCCCTCAGTCCTGGGCAACCTGGGAGGATCGGCCCCTGCGGAGGAGTGAGTCTGTCTGGGAAGATGAGCAGGAATTTGCCAGCCAAGCAGAGAAGTGGTGCCTCAGGTCAGATTGGCAGCGGCAGAGCCCAGGGCGGAGATGCTTGTGCACGGGGTCTCTCACGGGAGGGGGCGACCCCTGTGAGTGATGTTCGAGGCGTGCCGGCAGAGAGGCTGGAGCAGGACGGGGAAGCCGGAGAGGAGACCGGACGCTAAGCCAGGACCGGTCTGCTCCTCTCCCGCCTCGAGCCCACGGAGGGGCCTCTGTCCCCGCCCCTCGCCCCACCTGTCCGTCGCTGGCTTCCCTGGCGGTCTGGGCGCGTGCTTCCCGGCGAGGCGGCGCAGGAACGGGCGTGCCGTGCTGGGAGAAGGCGGCAGCTGTCAGAGGGAGGTTCCCGCAGGTCCGCCGGGGGAGGTGCCCGCGGACAGGGGCCTGGGCGCGCCGAGGGCGGGGAAGACGTCCGCGCTGGCGCGTTCGGGAGCCGCTGTGCCAGCGGGGGCAGGAGTCTCAGGGCGTGGCGGGTCTGCAGGAGGGAGCCCACCCAAGGCAGCGTGCGCGGGAGAGAGGGACGGGCTCTCTGCAGAGCCCAGCGGGGAGGGAAGCGGGTGGAGAAAACGAGAAGCGCCCAGGCCTGGAGGCCCGAGCCTGGACAGCACACTCTAGGTAGTGCTAGGTAGACGGGCACCAAGGCCCCGTCAGCAGGGACAGAGGCCATGACACTCAGAGGAGGGAGAGAAGTGGGAGATGCACTTGCGCGACGATGCGGTTGAGATTTTCACGTTATGCAAGTGTGAGGGCCTGTGTCCACTCCCACCGGAAGTGGGCAGCGAGGAGCAGGGAAGCCTCCTGCTGCTGGGAGCCCTCCCCTAAGGGGCTGAGGAGTGAGAAGCGCAGTCCTCTTCTCCTAGCTTGGGACCCTGCTGTCAGATTGTGTCCTATCCAGAGCCCCCACGGAGAACAGGTGGGCCACGTGCAGGACAGGTCCCTGGGAGCATGGGCTGACAGGTGTGGGCTCTGAGGGGCCATCACCTGGGCTGCCCTCGCCTCATTCCACACCATGCCTGACCTTGCCCTCCCACCACCCTAGGCTTTCCTGTTCAAATTCTCTGGCTTCACCCTGTGTCCAGGAATCGGGACCTGGTGCCGAGGAGGCTCTGGCTGTGTAGACCCCTCCCGTGAGGGGTGCAGGAGAGGAAGGTGAGGCAGAGGGCCCTGGAAAGGGACTTGCTCAGCGTTCTAGAGGGAGGATGGCCGGGCAGCCAAGAGCTAGGACCTGGAAAGGCAGACCCCCTGGGTGGGAATCTCAGCTCTGCCACTCACTCTGCGTGACCCGCATGGGGTGTTACCGTGCCTGTGTGTGCCTCTGTTTCCTCCACTGTAAAATGAAGCTATACCTTCCTTTTAGAGTATTTTTGAAAAGATTCCATTTTTAAATAATGTCACACTTTCAGAAAAGTTGCATGCAAAAAATAAAAGCAAAAAAGTATAAAGAATGTCTGTACCCCTTCTCCCAGATTCCCCAAATCTTAACATTTTCCCATGACTGCATCCTCCTCTCTCTCCACATATATCCATGTTGTTATTTTCTTTCTAGACTTATTCCAGAAAGTAGCGGCCATGCTGCTCATTTACCTCTCAATGCGTCGTGGGTGTTACCTAAAAATAAAGTATTCACTGATGTAACCTCAGGACAGTAACCAAAATCAGGACATTAACATTGCTACAGTGCTCTTGTCTAATTTATAGACCTGATTCAAAAATTGCCAATTTAAAAATGGAATCTTAGATATTTGTCCCCACTCGCCAAGCTCATGTTGAAATTTTATCTCAATGTTGGTACCAGCCCTAATGGGAGGAATTTGGGTCATGGGGGTGGATCCCTCATGAAGAAATTAATACTCTTCTTTGGGGGTTAGCAGCCATTTCTTTCAACTTAAATGCCTTTAGCTCCTTTTTTTCCTTGCTTCCTCTCTCACCACATGATCTCTGCACATGCGGCTCCCCTCCACCTTCTCCATGAATGGAAGCAGCCTGAGGCCTTTACCAGATGCCCAATCTTTAACTTTTCCAGATGTCGGAATCATGGGCCAAATAAACCTTATTTCTTTATAAATCATCTAGTCTCAGATATTCCTTTATATCAACTCAATATGGGCTAAAACAATATTAATATCATTCACCATGACCAAGTGGTATTTATCACTGTAATATAAGGATGATGGACATATGGAAATCAATAAATGTAATATATTTACAAAATGAAGGACAAAAATAATATGACCATCTTAATAGATACAGGGAAAGCATTTAACAAAATTCAATAGCCTTTTAGAATAAAAAATCTCAACAGAATACTTATAGATATCTCAACACAATAAAAGCCATATATAACAAACACATAGCTATCCTTATTCAAACAGTGAAAAGTTGTAAGCTTTTCCTCTAAGATCAGGGACAAGATAAGGATGCCCATTCTCACCACTTTTTTTTTAGACATAGTACTGGAAGTTCTAAATAAAGAAATAAAAATGGCATCATAATATAGAAAAGGAAGAAGTAAAATTTCCTCTATTTGATGATGATATGATCTTATATATCGAAAACTCTAAAGTTTCCACCAAAAAACTGTTATTAGATCTGATAAACAAATTCATTTAAGTTGCAGGATATAAAATCAGCATATAAAAATGAGTAGTTTTTCTATATATCAACAATGAACTATCTGAAAAAGAAATTAAGAAAATCTCAATTTACAATAGCAATAAAAATATTAAATATTTAGGTATAAATTTAACCAAGGAGGTAAAATGCCTTACTGAAAACTATAAAACATTGATTTAAAAAATGAAGAAAACATGGCTGGGCGCGGTGGCTCACGCCTGTAATCCTAGCACTCTAGGAGGCCGCGGGCAGATTGCTCGAGGTCAGGAGTTCAAAACCAGCCTGACCAAGAGCGAGACCCCGTCTCTACTATAAATAGAAAGAAATTAATTGGCCAACTAATATATATAGAAAAACTTAGCCAGGCATGGTGGTGCATGCCTGTAGTCCCAGCTACTTGGGAGGCTGATGCAGAAAGATTGCTTGAGCCCAGGAGTTTGAGGTTGCTGTGAGCTAGGCTGACGCCATGGCACTCACTCTAGCCTGGGCAACAAAGTGAGACTCTGTCTCAAAAATAAATAAATAAATAAATAAATAAATAAATAAATAAATAAATAAATAAATAAATAAATAAATAAAAAATGAAGAACACAAATAAGTGGTTATCCATATGGATTGAAAGAATTAATATTTGAAAATGTCTACCTAAAGCATTCTACAGATTCAATGTAATCTCTATTAAAATTCTAATGTCATTTTTCACAGAAATAGAAAAAACAATGTTTAAATTCATATGGAACTATAAAAGACCCTCAATAGCCAAATAGTCTTCAACAAAATGAATAAAGCTGGAGACATCACACACCCTGAGTTCATAACATGTTATAAAGAAATTATAATCAAAACACCATGGTACTGGTATAAAAACAGACTCATCAACAAATGGAAATGAAAAGAATAGAAAGCCCAGAAATAAACCCACACACTTATGGTCAACTGATCTTTCACATAGGTGCCAAAGTGACACAATAGGGAAAGGACAGTCTGTTTAATAAATGATGTTGGGACAAGTGGATACTCAGATGCAGAAGAATAAAATTAGATCCTTACATTATACTATATATAAAAATAAACTAAAATTAGATTAAAGGCTTAAATATAAAACCTGAAACTATAAAACTAGTAGAAGAAAACAAAGAGGAAAATCTCTACAACATTGGTCTGGGCAATTATTTTTTTTTATATGACCCTAAAAGCACAGAAAACAAAGGCAAAAATAGACAAATAAGATGGCATCAAACTAAAAAGCTTCTGCACAGCAAAAGAAACAATTAACAAAGTAAAGAGACAAACCACAGAATGGGAGAAAATATTTGGAAACCATGCATCTGTTAAGGGGTATATCCAAAATATTTGAGAAACTCCAACAACTCAATAGCAAGAAAACAACTCAATTAAAAATGGGTAAAGAATTTGGAACAGGCATTTCTCCAAGGAAGACATACAAATGGCCAATAGGTACATGAAAAAATGCTCAACAGCCTAATCAATAGGGAAATGCAAATTAAAACCACAATGAGATAATATCACACATCTGTTAGAATGACTTTTTTTTTTTGGAGACAGAGTCTCACTCTGTTGCCCGGGCTAGAGTGCCGTGGCGTCAGCCTAGCTCACAGCAACCTCAAACTCCTGGGCTCAAGCGATCCTCCTGCCTCAGCCTCTAAGTAGCTGGGACAACAGGCATGAGCCACCATGTCCAGCTAATATTTTTCTATATATTTTTAGTTGTCCAATTAGTATCTTTCTATTTTTTAGTAGAGATGAGGTCTTGCTCTTGCTCAGGCTCAGGCTGGTTTCAAACTCCTGACCTGGAGTGGTACAGATATTTGTATCTGTGATACTGAAAATAAGACCTACCCATAAAATAAGCCCTAGCAGGATTTCTAAGCATTTGCGCAATGTAAGCCCTACCCTGAAAATAAGACCTAGTGGTGGGCGTGGCTACACAGGGGATCTGCACAACCCATGCATTTCATCGCGGAGCGGTAAAGACGACAAGCAGCCCTTCTCATCTGCCCCATGGTGACAGCTACTATCCCAGGGGTGACCAGAAAGGTGCGGGCAGCCCCACCAACAAGGTCAGCTCCCCCGTCAGGTCCCGGCCATCCTGTGCATGCTGCAAGCTGAGGCTTTGAGAGGAAAATAACACATCCCCTGAAAATAAGCCCCAGGGTGTCTTCTTGAGGAAAAATAAATATAAGACCCTGTCTTATTTTTGGGGAAACACAGTATATATATACAAATGCAAAGAAAAAGGCCTAGACGGATACACACCTTGTGTTGCATTGAATAGTATCCTCAAAAAATTTATGTCCAGCTATATCCACAGAATGTGACCATATTTGGAAATAAGGTCTTTGTAGATGTAATTAGTTAAGTGTAAATGAGGCCCTAATAGATTAGGATGGGCGCTAAATTCAGTGACTAGTGTCTTTGTAAGAAGACCATGTAAAGACTCTCATAGAAGGCTATGTGAAGAGGAAGGCACGACTGGAATGACCCAGCTATAAGCCAATGAATGACAACAATTGCCGGCAACCACCAGGAGATGAGAGAAGCATGGAACAGATTCTCGCCCAAAACCTCTAGAAGGAACCAACCCTTTGGATGCCTTGCTTTTGGGCTTCTGGCCGCCTGAATGTGAGATAGTAAGTTTCTGTTATGTTAAGCATCCCAGTTTGTGGTAGTTTGTCACGGCAGCTCTAGGAAACCAATACATACTTGTTTAACGATGGTAAGCTCTAAGGAAGGGATTCCATGTATCTGTATATTGTTTGCAGGTTTTACAGTAAGAATTTATTCTTGCATAGCTAATCATTTTTAGCCAATAAAAATAAAATAATAAAGAAATTACCCACATTTTTCGTTGGAAGTTTCGGTCTGCCACTTATCAAGTATGAAATCTTAAATCATTAAACATCTGAATGTCTCAACAATAGCTTTATCGGAAAAAGGGGATGTTGATGTTAACACCTACCTGGCTCTCCTCCCTGGACCCCCGTTCTCTAACGATCCACACCCATTCTTCTTCCAAAATGGCTCTGGGCACCACCTTTATCTCTAACCCATGTCCCTGGCCCCCAGATTAGTTTAACCAGAACGCAACAAGTGTTCCTCTCTTTTTGAGCCCCTTTAGTGTTTCTCATTACCTGTCAAATTAGCTTTTCACATCATTATCCCTCATCACTTGCTTCCTTGGATAGAAAATACACGTTTGTGGATTGTCTTTGAACGCTGAGCATTGCCTTTTTCGTCCATGTCATTGAGTCCGCTTTTCCCTGTAAATTGTCCTCCAACCTAACCTCTTCCAGCCTGAAGACTTCCCCCACAGCCCCGCAATAGACATGATTTACCTTGCCTTTGGGTTCCTATAGCACAAACCCCCAGAATCTTAAGTGTTTTAATTACCCTCCCCCATTAAACTGCAAACTCCTTTTAAGAGAACTTTATTTATTATTGTACCCAGTACATTATTTTATGGAGATCAATAAATATTTACTGAATAAATGAATAACAATTATAAAACATTTGATTTATATGGAATTCATATGGGTTCTAAAAATAAAATAAAGTATAAACAGGACTGGCATTCAGCCAGCACATACCAGTATGGTCACATTAGTTGTAAAATGCTGAAATACGTTCCTACCACTGACCCTTGCCACCTAAATGCCTCCCACTACCACTGTTCTTCTCCCCGGGAGCACCTGGACACCCCATAATCTCCCAACTAAAGAGTTAGTGCCTCGCACAGCAGGAAACACCAGAACCCTGATCTAGCCATGTGGCCAGGGTCTGCTGGTAAAAGTATCTGACTGATCAGGACCTGTCCAGTGTCATTCTTAAATATTTTGATAATTACCCTTGATTATAAATAAGGTTTATTTATACAGTTTAAAAATGATGCTTCTCCTCATTGCAAAATCTCTTAGACTAGGTAGATTCAGGAACAGAAAAGGAAAATGATGATTTGTCAGTCTCTGAAGGTTTAGGGTATACCCACTAGGACTCACTCTTCATGTAAACCAGAAGATATGCAGTTTCCCGCCTAGAAAGAAGAGAACATGTATCAGCATAGCAAAATGAAACATTCATCATGAAATGATACGTTATTAATTCACATAAGGACAAGAAGCATCAGCAAACTTCCAGGTTGTTGGATGGTCTTCACCTATCTATCACCTCAGAGGGACACAAAACGGGTGACCTGGGAAAATAACCGCTAAGTTTCTATTAGTTAATGTTTAAATCAAAAGTTGACAAACCATGGGACTACGAGCCAAATCCAACCCTGTTTTTGCACATGAGTTTAACTGAGACACAGCCATGCTCACTCATTTACGGATCATCTATGGCTGCTTTTGTTCTACGAGGCAGAGTTAAGTGGTTGCAACAGAGACCATATAGGCCACAAAGCCCCATATGGCCTTTTCCAGAGAAAATGTGCCATGC